GAAAAAAAAAAAAAAAAAAAAAAAAAAAAGCAGAAGAGCAGACGCGTTCCCTGGATGGGGTTGAATTTTCCTGGGATACCTCTGCTATCCTGAAAAAAACCCTGTAGTCTAGACATAGCCTGTCAGTCAGCTCTTGAATGAAAGGCAAAACTTGTTTGAGAGCACATAACGCTACATTGTAAAGTCTGTTTTTTTGTATCATACAAGATTTTAGGACAGGAAGTGAAGAATGCTCTCAACAGGGCATTTCTTCAGACACGAAGGAAGCATGTCTCTTTCACCAACAGAAGTTGGTGCAACAAAAGATAACCACATCCAACCTGTTTTTCTCATATCCTGGGGCTGAGATGGCTACATTTTTTAAAGCAACTATCTTATAAGGACCATTTTTTCTCTACTGTGTTCCTCTGAGCAAACTACTGATTGTAATAGAAATGGACATAAGGATTACAGATCAGTTTTGTTTACAATGTAATCAGTAAAAGATGCTTCTGTAGTTAAGAAGGTTGGTTTAATACAAACGAAAATACAACTTTGAACAGCTAATTCTTATGTGTATTGTCAAGCATAGGTATAGATTATATAAAGTTCCATAATTTACAATGTGATATATACAGTTCAAAAGCGACTCACTAATTGTTTCTTCAAAAGATAGTTTGAATTAAAGGCATCACTTCCTGCCATCAGATTCTAATTCAAGCCCCGGGGGCCTTTAACGTATCAGAATTTCAATTATTTGGACCACATTCTGCCCCATATTCTCTGCTTTGCCTGGGAGCTGATGGGCCAGGAGCATGTTGATGGAGAAAGGGTTACTAGACAGCTGACTCTGTGTTTCTGAGATTGGTTCTTTCCTGGCCCTGGCACAATTTAGGGCATCTGCTCTAAACTCTGCCAGCTGGGAATGGTTCCCAAGTAATTGTCTGCCAGGTAAGAATCATGATTGTTCTTCCTTCCGTTACCTCTGTACAGACTGTAGGTCAGGAAAAGATGGCCCACTCTGTTCAGGACATCTTTCACCATCATGATCAGTTCATTAAGTTTGCTGTAGTACTGTTCATCCGGGTTGTTCTCTTTTCCCTCCAAAGTTTGTTTCTTTAATGGCCCACAAAAGGGAACAGAGGGTGGAAGAGCCCATCCCTTTATTTGTCAGTCCACCAATTAAGCCAAATAGCTGATGCTTTTGTATTCGTTAATTAATTTTCAGTTCCACATCTTCTGTTTTAACTTAGTCCTTTATTTCAGGAGGCCATTTTGTCAGACTAATTCAGTGTTTCTTCTCCTTTTTGTATCTATTCCCAGCAACATTTATTCTTATAAGGTATTGTGACATTTTATGAATGTTTGCATGCTTTTTACAGCGCCTACCCTGAGGGTAAATGATTAGCCCTAATTATGACAGAACTCCATCTGTACTGCCCCTCTGCTGATTGGTACAGGCGGTGGGCTTGACTCTCCACTCACTTGTTCTTTTGTTGTTGTTTTTAATTATGGTGGTATGTGGGAACACCACTCATGGATCTATTGTGGTAGGTGTTGTACAATCTCAGAACACGATGTCTCTATGCAACCATTTGCACCTGCACACAGAGAATGTAAAATGTTACTGTCCATGTTAGTAGTAGAGCATTCTGGTTTGGCTGTGGAGTTACTGTGGATTTATAGGGACCCAACTGACTTCAGATTACAACCCACTGTGTCTGGTCTCTGTCAAAAGAAATCTAGTTTCAAGTCATTTGAACTTCCAAGTCTTGAGCGCTGTAATGAACTCTTACCATCCAGCCACAAAAGCAAATACAAAGTAAGGTCTGTGCGCTATCCAGAATTGTATGGCTCTAAAACAAATTGTCCCTAGGGCTGAGCCCAATTAAATGCATTCTCTGCATTCAGACAACACAACTGGGGAGCATCTTTCATGAGAAGCCCTTGGCTTTTGAACTTTTCAACTTACTGTCTTGGTATTTAGCCAAAGAAGGTATCCAGCAGTGCTGCTTCCTACCAGATTTTGCGCTGGCATGTGGAGCAAGGTGAACGAGGCCGTTGCTGTGTTGTTGATGGCCAGGCCAGCACCTCTCTGCCCCATGCAGCACAAAGGGGTGCAGAAGAGAGCAACAAAAGAACTTAGAGCAGCTGGCCACTTGAGCTGCTCCCCTAGCTGGTTGCATTTGGGGCCAATGCAGGAGTGGTGAGAGTAAGCAGGCAGGTTTCAAGGAACTGTCCATTGCTTTATCCTTGCAGTCACAGCACACAACTTGCAGCAGGGTGTGAAGCAGCTGTATTTGCCATTCAGAAGCAAGGGCATGTCATGGCTTTCCATCCTCAGTCCCTTGAGATCTGGATCCCTAAATGTCCCTCTCCTTGCTTTGCCAAAACTAATTTCATTGTCATTATAAATAACTTAAATCTATGTGCCTGTTCTCACTTCTTTGCTCTTCATGGGAGGATTTCTTGAACTCTGTGTGGATTCGGAGTAGGCATGTCCAGAGCCTGTGTGCAGCTTTTGTTCTAGGTGTATCAGAGATGAAATTCACCTCCGTACAAAGCCTGCACCATTTAAGTCCAACTTCAGCCCTACTTTGAAGGATTTAGTAGTACACAGGCCCTGTGTTGTCTATGCGCAGGGGGTGAATTTCACCTAAGGATGTAGAGCCCTCTTACATAATTGCTCCCTCTTGTGGAGATTATTGTGGTGCAGAGGCCGTATGTGGTTAAATGATAATTCCTTTCAGCCTTCTGGGATGCTACGTAAGGCATATATAGTATCAACATTCAACCCATAATTCCTTTCTCTCAGGAAAGAAGTATAAACCTGACTCATATTGAGTCCAGGCCTTCCCGAGTCAACAAAGATGAGTATGAATTCTTCATAAACTTGGACGGCAAGAACACCTCTGCTCTCACGGAGATAATCAAGACATTGAGAAACGAAATTGGAGCAACTGTTCACGAGCTTTCACGTAAAAAGAAGAAGGACGCTGGTAAAAAAATATTGACTGTGATAATATTAACTATGAAATTGTGTGTTATCTGCCTAAACTACTCAGCCTTATTGAACTACTTCTATTCCCCTCAGTAAAGCAGTTTTCTGGCTGACCTCTGTAGCTGTGTTTCCCCTCCCATCCTTTATCTGTCTCGTCTATTTGTCCTGTAAGCCCTTTGGGATAAGCGCTTGACAAAAACAGGTACTGTGCATTCACGTACACTCCATGTGTATGTGCAATACCTAGTATACTCAGTCTTTGATTTTGACTGATGTTTCTTGGCTCTTTTGTAATATAAATAATCTTGCTGTTTTCAATATTTGGTTAGCAGGCACTCACTGATATTTAATAAGTGGGGCTGTAGGAACTGGTGATGGAACTACAGTGGTACTAGTCTGTGAATGTTTATAGAAAGTACAAGATTAGGGGCCTGATCTTGCAAACACTTAATCAGCATTTAGCTCCCTTGAGGCTAAAAGATTTTGGTTGCCCTGTCTTGCTTTCCAAAGAGTAGTAGGCATGTTCATTTTCTGCAAATGAGCAGTGTTCCTGCTGCTCAAACAGGCGATATTTCCATACAGAGTTTTCAGGAAGCTACCAAAGTCATCTAGCATGGTGCCTTTTGCTTCTAACATACACAAATACTATGAAGAAACCACACAAGCACAGATGAGTAGGAGTACTAGATGTCCTGATTTTATGAGGACTGTCCTACTATTTGGGGCTTGTCTTATATGAGTGCCTATTACCTCCCACCCCCATCCTGATTTTTCACACTTGCTCTCTGGTCACCCTATAGCGGGGAGGGGCAACCTAAGCTAATGAGTGGGCCACTTATGGCCCTCCTTCATCTCAGTGGGCTGCAAGATTGTCATAACCAAGGCAGTCTCCCACAATAGGGTAATTTTGCTCATTGCTCTTGCGTACTTGGAATTTGCAGAGTGCATCATCTGAACTGTAGCAGCATGGAAGGAGTGCACGGCTCTCACAATCAGCACTCAAACCACTTCACATGCCCTTGCTTTATATGCATGTCACTTTTGTAATACCAGTAGGGAAAAAAAAACAAACCTATGTGAATGGGGCAGGGCCAAGGACAGCCAGCCTTCAGCATTGTCCAGAGCACCATGTGCACAGCCTCTCCCCGGCCTTCAGCACTGCCCAGAGCTGCTACTTCAGCAGTGGCTGGAGCCCTGGGCCCTTCTGAATTGCTGGCAAGACAACTGCTCCCTTTGCCCCTTCTGTCTCCTGTTGGTGGGCCTGCAGACATGAGTAATATGATGGCCTATGGATGCTGTATTAGAAGGGGTGGAGGTTGGTTATAAGCTAACAATTGACTTGTTGAACTCTACAATAATTGACTAGCCAGTTCTTAAAACATCTACTGGGCACGTATTAACTGCTGGCTAAATGGACCCTTTGCGTGAAGTGAGACCATATTCTCAATTGTCTTGACTGGGTAAAAATTGCTGAGAGAGGACCATGTAACAAAATAACTAATGACGTGTGGATTGTCACGGCTAATGTCAACACCCCACCATTGCCACCCCAAAGCTCCCCTATATCTTGGTTAATAGCAATAAACCAAATCCTGCTGCCCCCTATTAAAGACTAAGGCCAAAGAGAGACAGTCCAACATGACAGCTGGTGTGAAGTAATGTTGTCCTTGGGGTAGCCCTGATTTCCCTGGCAGGGATCTATTGCTATACAGCTTCAGGAAGTGGAATTCCCTCCCCGTCTCTTCTACACTGTTCCTTCTCTACAGAGTGATTAGCCCCCAATCTCTCTCCCTCCCCTTTTGGAGCACTGGATGGATGAAGGGAGCAAGCTGGGTCCAACTTCCAGCTCAGGAGCAGCAACTATGCCTGACCTTATGTAGGTTGGATGGGAGGGGAGGGGAGGGGAGAGGAAGCCTTCGTGTGTACTTCCTCCCCCACAGTGCACCTATATAAAAGTCAGGCATCAATTTCCCTCTCATGGGTACATCTAGACTACAGGCTTTTGTCGACAGAAGTTTTGTCGACAGATACTGTTGACAAAGTTGCTGTCGACAAAGAGAATTTAGACTACATCCAGTTCTGTCGACAAAGCAAGATGCTTTGTTGACATGACCGTGTAGACACAAAGGACAGTGTAGCTGCAGTAACGCCTTCTGTCGACAGAACTCTGTTGACAAAAGGTGTTATTCCTCATAGAATGAGGTTTACAGCCATCGACAAAACTGCTGAGTTCTGTCGACGTTATGTTGACAGAACTCAGCGGCAGTGTAGACGCAGGTATAATTTTTTCGACAAAAGTCTACTTTTGTCGACAAAACCCTGTAGTGTAGGCACACCCATAGGCACATCCTAGACCCCATAATCTCACTCAGATCTTTTGGGTACTATCTCAATCCCCTCCCCCCAGTGAAAGCAGGGAGTTTTTCCATGAGCAGCCTCAACTCAGCCTCATTCAGGCAAAACTCCCAATGATGTTTGATGGTAGTTTTCCCTTTTTAGGGAACTAGGGTGTGACCCTTTGAGGTGCTGAGCACCCTCCATTCTTCTTATTAAAGTCAGGGAGAGGTGAAAGTGCACAACACCTCACAGGAGAGGAGCCCGGGTAAAGATAGGGCCCAGAAGTTTCATGTAAAAAAACCACGAACCCCTTTTATTACCTAAATACCTCTTCAGATACCAGATGTTATTTTAATAGGATTTCAGCTAGGATTGTCTTCAAATGCTTTTATTCTGGTTCTTCCTCTTCCTTCCTAGGAACAACATGAAAGGGCAGTAATATCTTCCTGAGATAAATCCTGGTAATCCTTTTACCATCTCCTTTGTGCCCGACCCATGACATTACACTTGGGGGAAAGAAATCTCTAGCAAATACTCTTTGGAGTCAGATCTCTCCATTCAAGTAATGAGCAACAAAGGGTTGTGCCTGGATAGGGAGCTATGACCACTTTTGTTGGGATTCCCTCTGGGACCTCATTCCTCTAGGCTTCCCAAGAACTCAGTTTGACTTGGGTCTCTTTATTGGGCATACGGCTATGCTGAGTTAATCAGACCCAGACACAGGGCGAGATGGATGCAGAATACATCACAGCTCCAAAGTTACACAGAAACCGTCTTCCTATATATACATGACACTGCTCATTGCATTTACTGTACAGAGTAGCATACATTTTTGGACCAGTTTGGTTACTTTGCAGGAACCAATCTCTGCGCAGCATGCACTGTCCACACACTGGCCATGATTCAAGTTCCTCTTTGCCTCATCTCTACATCCTTAACTTCTCTTGTTATCTAGTTCATAGTAAACAGTCCCCAATGTGCTCTCCCTCTTACCTTACCTGGCTCAGACATTCTATCTTCTTAATCTGATGATCTATTTACTTACTTTATTAGGGCAAACATTTAGTTTACAACCTAAAGATCCATTTTTTCCCCTCAATCCAAAAATGAGGCTGCCCGCCAGGTGTTAATTACTCAGATCAGACCTGGTCTCAGCTATCATTATTATCAAAGATGTTCTCTCTTTGTCACATGTCACCTCTCTGAATAATACTACAGAAGAAAGCTACACACCCTGGCATGTTTTTGCTGAGCAGCTGTGATTTAAGGTTTTCTAGGCACTGATTCAAGGATAGGTATAGCAACAACAACAAAAAGACAGTAAGTGAAACCATGGCCCCAGTAAAGGAAATGGCAAAACTCTGATTGGCTTAATCAGGGCTAGGATTTCACCTTCTGTTTCCATGTTCATTAGAAAGTCCTCTTAAACCAGATTAATCTCCATTGATTCAGTGCAGCAAAGATTAATTTGACCACTTCTGACTGAAGGAAATGACTGTTTTTGTTTGTTAGTGGAAACAAAAAATGATCAGCAAAGATCAAATGAATCATTTTCTTTCAGTGTCCTCTCTTCTTGCTTCCCTTTTCATCTTTAATAGTTGCCATGAGCAGGAAGGGCTCACTGTGGGCTGAAATCTCAGAAAGGCTGAGTCCTAAAAAGCTAAACTAAGGCTGCTTATGGAGCAAAGTCTGGCTCTCAGTGTAGGCAGGTGGGACTTCAGAGTGAAAAGAGAGTCCAAGCTGCAATCATGCTGGCAGAAATTGTCCCTTAATCAAGCATGTGAGAGTGTTTAATATATAACAAGCATTGTCATGAGACTGTCTATGTTGACTTGCCCTTTAAAATCAGCCTTCTGATGGATCTTAACATTGAACTCTTAACATCTGAATCAGCTGATTCTGTTTTTTTGAAAAATAGGAAACTAAACAAAATATCCTCTCCTCCCCACCCCCGCACACACGCAATAGCAAGCCAGCCTCCCTTGTGTGTCAGGATTCTGGAAAATGGAAGTAGCAGGGAAAGCCTCCAGGTGAATGTTTTCTGTGCTGCTGTTCCCTGAGCCAGGGCAGAGGGGAGGTGGGTCAGAAGCAGCAGCATGTGGAGCAGCTTCCGTCCCCTACAAGCTGAATCTGATCCGTGAGGCGCTCCAGTCTCACAGGGGGTGGGTTGGGGCTAGAGTACCAGTTCAGACTCCCAGCTGTGGGGGTGGGGAGGTGTTAGCCCCCAAGCCTACAGCCCACTTGCAAGATGGTCGCAGGCCACTAGTAGTCTGCAGACCAGACTTTTAGAACCATTGGTCTAGTCCAACACACAGTGTAAATGTGACTAGGTTGATGGAAGGATTCTTCTGTCAGCCAAGCTACTGCTTCTCAGAGAGATGGATTTATTATATTGAGCTGAATTAAAAACTCCTTCCGTTGGAGCATCCAGTAGAATAGACAAACCCATAGCATATCAAACAAAAGGATAAGAAGTGAACTAATCATGCTCTGTAAGTACCTTCACAGGAAAAAGACCTTGGCTATTAGAAGGGTCTTTAGTCTAGCAGATGAATGGGTGGAAACTGAAACTTAGAATACTAGGACTGAAAGTGACCTCGAGAGGTCATCGAGTCCCGTCCTCTGCCCTCATGGCAGGACCAAATACTGTCTAGACCATCCCTGATAGACATTTATCTAACCTACTCTTAAATATCTCCACAGATGGGGATTCCACAACCTCCCTGGGCAATTTATTCCAGTGTTTGACTACCCTGACAGTTAGGAACTTTTTCCTAATGTCCAACCTAAACCTCCCTTGTTGCAGTTTAAGCCCATTACTTCTTGTTCTATCCTCAGAGGCCAAGATGAACAAGTTTTCTACCACCTCCTTATGACACCCTTTTAGATACCTGAAAACAGCTATCATGTCCTTCCTCAGTCTTCTCTATTCTAAACTAAACAAACAACTTGGTGAATTCTAATTAGTAATAAGATCACACTTTGAATAGTGAGGGTGATTGTCAACTGAAATGCATGATGGATTGACCACTACTTGGATGCCTTCCTAAAAAGTAAGTTCTAGTTCAACCCCAGCTTATTGGTATTGATACAGGAATCACTGGGTAAAATTCTATGGCCTGTGCTACGCCAGAGGTCAGACTAGAACAGTCACAATGGTCCCTTCCAGCTTTAGCAGTCTTTGAATCCTGTGCTTAATGTGAAGCATGTTTTGAGTGTTTTACTGGACTGGGGTTTTGGTGCACTGCTAATTTTTCATTTGGGCTCAGTTATCATTTTTACACCATTTCCCCCCAAAGTTCCTTTCATGGCTGGGCAACAGATTTATTTTTTCCCCAATTCAAACAATGAATAAACGATGTAGAGCAATAATATAAGTGTAGCTTAGCAAATGCTAGCAACATGTCATCATTCTGAAGGTAATCTTAGGTCTTCCCATGAGTGCTGTGCTCACTGGAAGTGTTTCATCTGGCCAAATGCCTTTCGGGGGATTTATTGTTATTTGTTGCCAAAACAGTGCATCTCTTCATGGCTCTTTTGGGAAGCATGTTGAGAATTTGCAGACCCCTAGGAGCCCAGGAATAGAAGTTTTATGGGGGGGGGGGGGGGGGAACCACACACAATTTATTGTATATTGGAGGCTGAGGTTCTGTAAGAGCCTTGTTTGCTAAACCCTGGGGCAGGCCAAGCATTTGGATCTGTTTAAAAAGGGCTAAACCTGTGCCTTGAACAGCAATAAATTTAATAGACCTGTCTTTGACCCTCCTCACAATGGTCAGAATGTAAGAGCTCTGCAGAAACTCCTCCCTGCTTCCGTTTTGTTGCCCCACATATAAATGGCTTATTAGCATCCTATTAAGCATTTGACCCCATGCTAATTTGGTCACCACTTGGGTGTCCAGTGCATGCCCATAAACGCTGCTCTTTCGCATGCAGACAAATCAATATTTATTACTGATCAGTCCGGGCTCTCTCTTGAAGTTTTTCACAGAGGCTCCCTGTTGCAACCGCTTGCTCTGGCAATTCATTAACTGCAGTGCCGACAGCCAGCATGTCTGGTGAGCTAGCCCTGGTGAAGACATGTCAGCAAAACAAAATATTTGACAAATTCACCGAGGGCCTAATTGAATTTGATATTTTTAAACTGTAGCGAGGATTGTTGGGGAAGGTCTTTCTGTGCGGCATGGCCAGACAATACACCCTAGACGCTCTCTCATGGTTCTAATTGCTCTGATTCCAATGGTATTCCCAGGGCAGAGGGGCTATTCCCAGGCCGTACTCAGCACGCTCAATTCTCATTGATTTGGGTGCTGAGAACACTGTGCTCTTCACAGAAGATTCATGGGGCCCTAGTTCAGCCTTCTGTCGCACCCCTTTGTATGAATGCCTTAGGGCAGGTCTAAAGCCCCCCTTAGCAGGGATTTCTCCTGCTATAGGCCCACTTCACTGGCACTGAGCTTCTTCCACAGTAGCCCCTCCCTGCCACGGAGGGTGTTCTGAGGTGGGATGTGGGGGAGGGCAGAAGATGAGGTGAAACTAGGCCAGAGGAGGTAGCTGAAGAAGGTATGACTGGGTGGACTTGTGTCCTGGTAATTCTGGGTTCCAAAAACTCTGTGGGGACCATTCATAGAAGGGTACAAGTTTGAGGAACCCTGAGAGCTGCTTCTACACTGGCCACCGGCAGCCCAAAGGAGGGGAAAACAAACCAGCTCCTTTCTGACTCTAGAATGGTGCCTGCCCAGGAATGATTCTGCCCCGCAGTTTGCAAATCACCAGTTTGTCGAACACTTGGGATCCTTAGTAATACAAGTTTATTGGATGCTATTTTCCAATTCATCCATACTTGGAACCAAAATTACTTGAACCCAAACCTTTCTAGTTCAGAGGAATACCCCTTCCTCTCTAAAGTCCCTAACAGATCATCACCTCAGAAATGCGCTTGCTGAAATCTATTACAGAGCACAGCAGGCTTCACAGTCGCCGCTGGGCCTTCTGCTGAATTCAGATCTGATGGGGTTGTAGAGCTTCCCTGGGAAGAGCAATATGTGGTGGCAATCATTAATAATAACACTTAGCTTCATGATAGCACTTTTCCTCCCGAAGTCTCAAAGCACTTTACAGAATGTCAGAGGGGTAGCCATGTTAGTCTGAATCTGCATAAACAAGGAGAAGTCTTGTGGCACCTTATAGATTAACAGATTTATTGGAGCATAAGCTTTCATGGGCAAAGATCCACTTTGTCAGATGCATGTGATGTGCATCTGATGAAGTGGGTCTTTGCTCACGAAAGCTTATGCTCCAAAATAATCTGTTAGTCTATAAGGTGCCACAAGACTTCTCGTTGTTTTCACAGAATGTTGTCACCCCCATTTCACAGACAGGGAAACTGAGGCATGAGACGGTAGTGTGACTCACTCAAATGCCACTGACAGAGCTGCAAACTGAAGGCAGGTTTCCTGAGTAGGAGTCCAGGATGTTAGCTGCCCAGTACATGGAAGATAATTGTTCTCCTCCGTGATTATTCTGTGGGATTTGCCTTCTTTTTAATGTGCAGGCTGCTGGTGATCTTTTATATCAAGTGAAAACATTATTTCATAACAAAGTCCCATTTGCTTACTTAATCTGAGGGGGGGAGGAAATAACTCATGGAAACTAATAGCCTGTTTCTAGAGCAATGGCTAAAAAGCAAATCTGTCCAGTTGTGAAAGATTTTGCTGCGTCTGCTGCCACCTAGTGACTAACTTATTTGGTTTGCTTCTTAAAGTTAGTAGCATGGGAGGCTCCAAAGAATGTTTCTTTCAGTGATCCAAAGCCACATTCACTGTCATTCAAGGGAGCATGCACTGCACTAAAAAGAGCTTGCTTTGATGTTTAGAAATGGTTTTCGGCAGGAATTCTAACAGCACAAAGACAGTAGCACAGCTCTCCCATCAGCGTGCGTAACACTATCGCAGCACAGGTGGGCACTTCACGGAAGCATGCTACTCAGTAGTCATAATGCAGACTGCTTTTCTGGGGCTGATGTGAAATGAGCGAGTGGTCTAACTTCAATTCTGATGTGCAGATGTCCGCAGTCCTTAAACCCTGCCCCATAAATGCCGCCTTTATTGTCCGTCTCAGCAGAGAGACCAAGAGCTGAATAGGCCTGGTGATGGAATGATCCTCTCATCCCTTCGGTGCTCCATGTGGCTCAAGGTTGGGGTACATCAGCGGGGACTGGGGGAGAGAGAAGAGGGATGGCGCTGCAGCTGGCTGGGCCCCCTGGAGGGCTTACACAGGATTTCCGTTTCCAGAGCTGTTGGTGCAGAATTTTTCCACCACCTGAAATCAAGTAAAAACAAAGATGTGAAATAAAATAAAAGTGATTTAGCAGCAGTGTCGTCAGGGCAGAAAGCAGACCCAGGAAGTGTTTTATGGCACTTGCTGCACGAGTGACGCACCTTTATGCAAGAAAGAGGCTAACTTCATATGTGTCACAGTGCCATTCAGCCAGCAGAGAGAACCCTGAGAGCTTTTGGGCTTGAACTTTCTACTTTAAACCATGGGGCCTTCTGGGATGCATGACTCCCACTGACATCAGTGACAGTTACATGTACCTTGCATGAAGAGACTAAGGTGTGTGAATGCAGAGTGAGAGCCCTGCCTGATATCCACACTGAGAGCAGTGCTATTGTCTCAAGAGCTGTAAGGACCCCTCTCCCATTACAGTAATTGCTCTCGAAAGATTTGGGCACCATTTCCCCTTCTGTGATCCAAATAAAAAGAAATGGAGCCTGATTCTCCATGGAGGTCTCACATTCTTGCAGTGTGAATACAAGCTGGTTGCAAAAGGCTCTGAAATCAGTGCCAGTAGCTTTTTACGCCTACTGTGCACTGGTGCACATGAATACTTGAGTCACGGGGCAATGGACAATGAGGCCTGTTCCTGTTGTTTGAAATGTCTCCTTATGCTGTAGTGTGATGTCCGTTAATTAAACAACATTAATCAGATGCATCAAAGTGCTGTTTAATTTGCATACTGCTTTAAGGTGTAAGCTGGTCAAAGTGGCATAGATTCGGAACTGGACGAGACTTTCATGGGAACTGATTATTTCATATCTACCTGCTGCAGGGTTTCTTGTCCCCTCTCCTGCAGAGGCTGACTCTGGCTACGGTCAGAGACAGGATATTAGACTAGATGTAACTTGAGTCTGATCCAGTTTGGTAATTTATATTTTCTGATAATTCAAGAACATAGAAATATCCATAATCAAACCATAAATAATAACCATCACAAGCAAACTTAATGTCAAGAGCTGGATTTACTTGCTCCAACAATGCAAAACAGCCATCAACCCAACATAACTGGTACATGAGTTTACATGAGTTTACTGTTTCACTGCATCATTAGTGCAGTGCAAAGCTTCTGAAAAGTACCAGTAACACTAGCCATGTGCCTATCTTACTTCATATTTAGATCAAAGAAATGGAAAGGGTTAGATGAGACTCCCCTCCCCCCCCCCCCCCCCCCCAGGCCCTAATAGGCCTAGGGGTAGGGGGAGCATGTGAGGTCTCCTCCCATTGCGCGTATTTTCTTTTCTGTTTTGTAGTGCCATGGTTCCCAAGAACCATCCAGGAGCTCGACAGATTTGCCAATCAGATCCTAAGCTATGGAGCTGAACTGGATGCAGACCACCCTGTAAGGAACAAGTCCTTTAAACAAATAACAACTATACAGTTATTAGGATTCTCGTGTACATGTTTTATACTAGGGTGTGGGTTCCCAAACAAGTTTTGCTGCTAGGAGGAGGGGCATGAGGATTTCTCAAAAATCAAAAAGGGGGCGTGATGCCGAAAAGTTTGGGAACCACTGTACTAGGTAACTCTAGTGGGCCAGGAAGGCACAAAGGTAATTCCCATGACTAGGCTTGCTTGAGAACTAGCCCCTGACATAAATTATATCAGTCTGGAGGCTGCTCTAAAGTAAGCAAATGCGAGCAGCCCCAAACATTATGTCAGCTGGGGATCTGCAGAGCACAGTCATCACAGGCTTATCCACTTTCTCCCAATTACACACAAGCAAAGGATTCTGGGATGCAGTGTCTGGAACAATTTTTTGGCCAGTTTGTGTTTCAAGGACTACAGAAAGTAGACAACCACCATATTCCAATGTGGGAGCATTAAGAGCCCTTTCCCCTTGTATAGTGACTGTAGAGTTGATAGAAACATACATAATATTTGTTAAATGACAATGTTGCACTTGAATGGTCCCTGCTCCAAGAAGCTTGCAATTTAAATAATGACTGTGGATTTGTTTGTGCTAGTGAGCCCACAGACCCTTAAGGTGTTTTTAAGACTCTTCTCGATGCAAAAATACTTTTTATCTTCATCCCCTCCCAAACAACAACTTATTTTCATGTCAAAACACACCGACTTGCATGCGGTGCAACAGAAATTGCTGCTATTAGTTTAATTGAGACAGGCTGATTATAAATAAATTACATGTGGTGCAGCAAAAATTGCTGCTATTAGTTTAATTGAGATGGGGTGATTAGTCATTCACTACCTACTGCTTAATCCAGAGTGCGTTGTGTATCATGTACAATGATTCATGATATTCAGTATGGTCAGATGAAAACCAGAATGAAAGAAGATGCAATTGCTTCAGCAAACCGAATCAATAGCCTTCTCATTTGGCGCACTAGGCTACGAGCATGTTGTAAAATGGCATTGTTCTTGAAAGCAAAAAAAGAAATAAAACTCAGGTATTAAAATGAATGAAGCAGCTCAATTTTAGCTGATATTTCCTTTACAGACTCATAAAATCAAAGCGCAACCAGGCATATGGTATAGTAAGGAAGGACAGTAGAGTTTAGGATGCAGCAAGGAGGAAAAAGTAGGAGTAATTCAGTTGCTCTCACTTAGGTAGACATGGGAGCTTAAAATAGGATAAGTGTTCTAAAATTAGGATAATGTTATGCCATTCTAATCTATAAGATAACTTTTCAAATCACCTGATCAATGTGCCATCTAATTTTTTTCCATTTACATGCAGAATAAATGTTATTATGCACACTGAGGCATGTGCAGATGTGTACCACCAATAGAAACACATGCTGCCAGCTGTGGGCGCTCTGCTAATCAGCTGGATGGCATTTCAATCTCTCCTCGGTGCCACCCAAGTGCTCATTTTACAGGGAATATTGCACTTGATCCCTTTTTGTGGTATTAGCACACTTTGGTCTAATACAGCTGTAGTGGATAGCTGGTTATATCACAGTTAATACCAGATCCAGTTTCATCTTGCACTGTGGTGGGGTTAACCAAACTATCATTATTATTTGTATATTGGAGTAGTATCTGGCTGTCTTAAGTGGAACAGGAGTGCCAGGTGCTGTACATACACCCGGTGAGAGACCGACCCTGTTCTGAAGAGCTCACATCATAATTAGACAAGACTAACAAAGGATGAGAGTGTGCAGTGTTGTGGTAGCTGTATCAGTCCCTGGATATGAGAGAGATGAAGTGGGTGATGGAATGAATGCCTTTGATGGAACCAACTTTGGCTGGTGGAAGAGACACGCTTTGGAGCTCATGCAGAGCTCTTCTTCAGGTGAGGGCTGAGCCTCTCTGGTTAGATGAGCCTTGTGAGTCATAAGGGGTGAAATTTGTAGCAAGTCTGTATGCAGGAATTTCTGGGAGGGTGCTTTTTTGTAAATGTGGATCACAAGGGTGTGAATGCCCCCCCCCCCCATGGTTCCCGAAGTAAGTGGGGAAACAGCTCCAGCCTTCCCCCAGCCAGCCAGAGCATGCTTACTTGGGGAACCATGGGGGGGGTGCTTTTGCACCCTTCGCACACACCCCCGCATACAGGCCTGTGTTACTTGCATGTGTGGGGTAGCTATGCCTCTGTGTGCACACACCTTGCGTGGGCACGAGTGAAGTTCTAGTCCAGTGGTCACCAACCAGTAGATCAGGATCTACTGGTAGATCTTGGAGTATCTGACAAGTGATCCTGACCCGTTTGGCCAGGAGGCTCTCAAGTGCCAGCACTTCAGCTGATCCTCCCAGCACTGCCATGCTGCTCCTGCCCTCTGCCTTGGAGATGTCCTCCCACCCCCAGGAATCTCCTGCTTGCAGTGCAGGGCACTGGAAAAAGAGTAGGGAGCTCTGATGTAAGGGTGCCCCTCTGCCCACGCTCTACCCCATCTACAGAGTGGCAGGGATGGAGTTTTCTGGCTGCTTTTGGGAGTGGTGAAGGGCCAGGTTAGGGGTGAGCCTGCCTTAGCACCCTGCAGCACCACCAAGTAGCCACCTGTGGTAAGCAGTGCCCCGCTGGAGCCTGCACTCCGACCCCAGCCCCAGTCCTGAAACTCTCCTGCCCCCCAAACCACTGCCCTAGCCCTGAGTCCCCCTGCACCCAAACTCCCTCCCACAGCCTGCACCCAAATCCCCTCTTACACCTCAACTCCCTACCCCAGGCTCAGTTCAGAGCCCCTCCCACACTCCAAATCCTTTACCCCAAGACCAGAGCCTGCATCCCCCTCCCTTGCAACTCAACCCTCTGTCCCCAGTCTGATAAAAGTGAGGATTGGGGAGGATGGAGTGAGCAGGGGTGGGGGCAGGAAGGAGGTAGGGCAACTGTATTTGGGTTTGAGAGAGATCCTAGCTTGCACTTAAATGCAAAAAGGTGATCTCATGCTTGAAAAGGTTGGAGACCACTGCTCTAGTCTACTCTCTTCTGTGAGCTCCCTGCTTGGCAGCATGCAGAGAACTGGAGGGCTGTGTCTACACTGAGCCACTTATTCCGGAAAAGCAGCCGCTTTTCCGGAATAAGCTGTGAGCTGTCTACACTGGCCCCTTGAATTTCCGGAAAAGCAATGACGATCTACTGTAAGAAATCAGCTGCTTTTCTGGAAAAACTATGCTGCTCCCGCTCGGGCAAAAGTCCTTTTTCCGGAAAACTGTTCCGGAAAAGGGCCAGTATAGACAGCAGAGTAGTCTTTTCCGCAAAAAAGCCCCAATTGCGAAAATGATGATTGGGGCTTTTTTCCGGAAAAGCGCGTCTACATTGGCCACGGATGCTTTTCCGGGAAAAGGGCTTTTCCGGAAAAGCATCCTGCCAATGTAGACGCTCTTTTTCCGGAAATACTTATAATGGGAAACTGTTTCGTTTTAAGCATTTCCGGAAAAAGGTGCCAGTGTAGACGTAGCCGAAGAGGCAGGAAATGAGCAAGGCTGGGAAATTGCCGCTAAATGGATTCTCTTGTCTCTCTCCCATACCCTCTGGTGGGAGGATGTAAAGAGCTTGCATTTGCTATTTCAGCAAAGCAGTCATTCAGCCTAGGAAGCAGTGTTCCCTGCCTGCCCTTGTGTGCTAGGTGTCCATACTGAGGCCTGAGATCTTGATTTTTAGCCTAAAATCACTTTTCTGTTGCCTCTGAATTCAGTGTCAAAGCTCCCACTGTTTTCAGAACCCTGCGTTGTTCCCACTAAGCAAGAGGAGTACATTTGAACTGTTTCCTCCTAGGGTTTCAAAGATCCTGTTTACCGGGCCCGGAGAAAGGAGTTTGCAGACATCGCCTACAACTACAGACAGTGAGTGTGCACCACACGGACGGGAGAGAAACCTGTCCCACAAGCGAATGCTTCTAAAGCTGTCACTGCCCTTTCATGATGGCTGCAACAAATTCTTTTCAGGGATTTCTTTTTTGCTGTTGGCACCTTCTTTCTTGGTGTGTGTTTCAATTTTCCTATAAATGCATTTATCTAAAATTACAGCAAAACAAAAGTAAATTGCTCAAGGCGGACATTCAAATGAGAACATGCCCCTCCTCCCCCCAGCACCAGTCTTTGTTGTCTAATTATACAACAGTATCACATGCTACTACAAAGACCTGAGCACTGAATAATGCAGCTTCTGGTGTTCTCCATATTAAACAGTGAAGAAGGGGAGAGTGTATATAATTTACATTAAAGCAGGAGCTGCACAAACTATTAAAATAATGAATAACGTATGGTCCTCTTGTGAATCTAACGCTTATTACTCTACTTTTATCATGCCTGATCCAGCTGCACTGAGCAATTTAGGTTCTCGTTTCACAAGCAAAATAAACAAATGAAGCTTCCGCAGTATAAACTTCATTTTGGGTTTTTTTTGTGTGTGTCTTTCTCTGTTCATGGTCAAATTTGAATGACAGTAGGAACTAAATCTCTCCCCCAAAGTCATTCACACGTTTATATCATGCCTAACAGACCCAGTCCTTGCAATCAATGGTAAAGCTCTCTTTGATTTCAAAGGATCAGACCACGTGGTGCATGATTTTTAAATCATCACCACCACTACTACTACTATTTTACTTACATTATTATGCAGGCTGTTGTACAAACACTAGAATAGAAAGCCAGTCCCTGCCCCAAAGAGCTTACAATCTAAGTTACAAGAAAAAAAATGCAACCTGATTGTTTAATTACTTAAAAGGAGTCAAATAAATCAGAGAGGAACCCAGTTGTTGTGTGGAAAGTTTGGGTAAGCCTATCTAGCCAGGTTCTGATCTTACTTACAGAAGTGCACCCCCACTTACAACAATGTGGAATGGTGGCCTTTGTAATCGAAAGCAGAATTTGTCCCTTAGTTTGCAGACTTTAGCCAAACTTTATATAAAAATAATAGACCAAGTGTCAAATATAGCTATCATCAAACAAGTGAGGAAGTTGAGACTCCACAGTATTACTAAGATGTGTCCATATCAAAGAATAAACAAGGCTGGGATTTTAAGTGCTTACTTCATATTCTATCAGGAGGTCATAAGCTTCACACTTTTAAATTTTAGACTAATAATAGAACAGTGACAAGATGTCAAAGAAATTTGACACTTTTTTATGTTTCGCAAAGAGAAACGGGTACCACGTACAACCCTCTGGCCTCACCCTGGGCCATCTCTCCAGGCCACCTGGTACCTCACCTTCAGACCCTGAGCCGTGCAGAGACGCCCTGTGACAGGTTCTGCAGAGGAGTGAGAAACAGTGCTGTGGAGGCAGCTGAGTTCCCATCTATCTAGGGGCAGATTCAAGGCCCTGTAAACTCAGAGTTTGCTAGGGGTAATGAGGAGGTTGGGCCTTTAAAGGGTAACTATGTAATTCCAGTGCTGTTAAGTCTAAAAATCAGCTGCAAGAAGTGGGAGGTGATGACGTGATTCACACTCTCCTTGTCTCTGTTCTTTTGATCTCAATCCCCCACTTTTCCCCTGGCTTGTCTTTTCTGCCCATATCTGCTGCTTATTTGACTCTTTCCTCTCCTTTGCTCCTTTTTCTTGTTTTCATTTTACTCTTATCCTTCCCCAGCTTGAAGTCCTACTTCCCTGCCTTCTCTCCCCCTTGCTTTTGACTCCCCTTTCTCTTGCTTCCTTCCCTTGCCCCTGCCCTATAGATCTCTCGGATCTTTTGACTGAGATTTGAAAGTGCACTAAGCCTCAGCTTCCTTCTCCAGCTCTGGGAAGATGTCCCAAAGATTAATTAGGAACAGTGAGCACTGTAGGAACAGCAGTGGTCCCCCAGCAATCTTAATAATTCAAGCCCATGTTTAAGGCTCCATAGATCAAGGAGGACTGATTCACACAAGCAGAAAATTGCAGAGTTACTGGCAAGCTGCCCCCAGGCCAAAGTTAAAATGAGAGAGTGGGAGGCAGTGGGGTATCATTAGAGTTTAACAATGAATCTCTGGGCTTAGAAAGCCCTAGCATTATTCCAGTAGAGCTGCTAACCCTGCTAAGTTGCTTAAAACCCTTTGATTTTTAAAGGCTGAGGGATTCACCTACGGCCTTTTTTCTTTATTGCTAAGGAATCTTCCTCCTTCAGATGAATTCCAAGGCGATAGGAATTGAAGGGCCAAATTTATGGTTCATGGGGCCTAGCTCTCTTCACTTCAGCATGATCTGCATGCAAAAGTGATGGAGGCAGAACTTGACTCAGGATTATTCATTTGTTCAAATTAAGTGTACCAAAATCTGCATTCAGTGGTAATTAGGTGAATCTCCAAGATGCTTAAACTGGTTAGATCTGTGCATTGCCAGAACGGGTGTTTTCCTGGCCACAGATGGAACTTCAGAACAAATCAATAGGCATCAAAGAGTACAATCTCCTGCACATCAAGAAAGGAAAACAAATGAAAGACAGCAGTCAGTGAACTCTACTAGCAGATCAGCAGCAGCAGCAACAAAAGAAATACTGTTTATTTTTGATGTAGTAGTACCAAAAGGCTGCAACTCAGAGCAGGGCCCCATGGGGTCAGACAGTAAACAAACACAGAAGAGACAGCCTCTGCCCTTTAGCCCTGGTCTACACTAAGGGTATGTCTACGCTACATGAGTCCATCGACGGAGCCATGTAGATGAGCTTTGTAGACATAGCAAAATGAAGCGGCGATTTAAATAATCGCTGCTTCATTTACATCAAAGTGGGCTGCTGTGCTGTGCTGATCAGCTGTTTGGCGGCACAGCATGGTAGTCTGGACGCTCAGCGGTCGACATCAAAAGCCTTTGTCGACCGCCCAGGTAAACCTCATCCCACGAGGCATAACGGGGTGGTCGACAAAGGCTTTTGATGTCGACCGCTGAGCGTCCAGACTACCATGCTGTGCCGCCAAACAGCTGATCAGCACAGCACAGCAGCCCACTTTGATGTAAATGAAGCAGCGATTATTTAAATCGCCGCTTCATTTTGCTATGTCTACAAAGCTCATCTACATGGCTCCGTCGATGGACTCATGTAGCGTAGACATACCCTTAGTGTAGACCAGGGCTAAAGGGCAGAGGCTGTCTCTTCTGTGTTTGTTTACTGTCTGACCCCATGGGGCCCTGCTCTGAGTTGCAGCCTTTTGGTACTACTACATCAAAAATAAACAGTAGTTATTTTAAAATAACAAGTGGATCATCCACACCACTAAGCATATCATTTCAAAATAATGGGCTGGTTATGTTGAAAAAACTCCTGCTTTCCATGAGGAATGACGCTTATTTCAAAATTATTATTTCGAAATAGCGGTAGTGTGGATGCTGCTATTTCGAAATAACTACTCCCCAGAATCATTCAAAGTAATTATTCCCTAGTGCTTCCTGGTGCTCTAAGTCAAGGAAGCATGTCCATGTTTAGGGCACGTCTACATAGCAGGGCTAAACTTGAAATAAACTATGCAACTTGTGCTATGCTAATTGCATAGCTTAAGTCAAAATAGCTTATTTTGAGTTTTGGTGCTGTCTACACAGCAATTATTTTGAGATAGAGCACTCTTCCCCCGACTTCCCTTACTCCTCATACAATGAGGGATACAGAAGCCTGAGTAAACAGTCCTCTAGCTTGACATTATTTCGACATTATGTCGAAATAACTGCTTGTATGTAGACGCGGGCTGAGTTATTTTGGAAAAACATCAGTTATTTTGAAATAACACTGCTGTGTAGACATATCCCAAGGGAGCCTGCTTAGGGCTAATTTGGAGGCTTCCCCATAGTGTGGACATGCTATTTCAAAATAGTTATTTCGGGAGCCGTATTTCAAAATAAGTTATGTTGAAATAATTTCCTAGTGTAGACATGCCCTAAGAGCATACAGTCTAAATGACAGCATCTCTCTGCTGTATTTAGGAAAGCTATTCCAGATGTACAGGCATGCGAGTGAGAAGAAGATCAGGCCCCTTGTTTTCACTCCTGCTGTGTACTCAAAGAGGGATTCTCATCACCCATATCAACTCTTGCCCAGCTCCGAGTGGGAGGCACAGATGCGGGTGACACAAGCCACTTCTTCATATTGCTGGTTTAAGGTGTATCCCTTTCATGCTGGATTAAAAATGCTCTTTGCTTTACAGCGGGCAGCCTATTCCTAAAATGACTTACACCGAGGAAGAAAAGAAAACATGGGGCACAGTCTTCAGGGAGCTGAAGACTCTCTATCCAACTCACGCTTGCTATGAACACAACCACGTGTTCCCGCTACTGGAAAAATACTGTGGCTACCAGGAGGATAATATTCCCCAACTGGAAGACATTTCAAATTTCTTGCAAAGTATGTTAAAGTATTAAAACAGCCTGATAGAGAGGAAGGATGGCCCAGCTGTTAGGGTGTTAGCCTGAGACTTGAAAGCCCTAGTTTAATTTCCTTCTCTTCCATTACTCTCTGTCTCACTGCCCCACCTATGAAATATGGGTAATAGTATCTCTCCCCTGCATCACATACACCTTATAGGCATGAGTCGAGGATGAATCTATTAAAGACTGTGGAGGCACAGAGATATTATGGTGATGGTGACCATGTAAGTACCTTGAGCAGAGAGTTTTTCATTATTTGGTACTCACACTTATAATGAAGAGAGAAAATGATGCAAAGCTTTGTCCAGTTCCCAGGACCCAAAGGAGAGGCGTAAACCAGCTCCAATAGACTTTTTAAAAAAGGAACATTTCTCTCTCTAAAGGCTGCACTGGATTCCGCTTACGCCCTGTTGCTGGTCTGCTGTCTTCTCGGGATTTCCTGGCTGGTTTGGCATTCCGAGTGTTTCACTCTACACAGTACATCCGCCATGCATCTCGACCAATGTACACCCCAGAACCGTGAGTACTTTGCCACTGAAGGTAGACAAGGCTGTGTAAGTTGCTGTAACCATGCAGTCGGGTTAGTAAATAATAATCACATTTAATACTATTAATAATACACATATCCTCATACCAGATAACTACCCTGTGCCCTATTGAGGTATCGCCATTGAATTTGCTCTCAGATGAACATTTTAGAAGGGATTTAGTCTAGTTGGCGAGACAGTGTAGATCTGTCTGTGTGAGCTGCCCCTTCTCTGCTAGCTCTTCTTCAACTGAACGGTTTCACTGACTGTCACAGATCTCTTATTCCTCCTTCTTGCCACATTTACGTTCCTTTATGCCTTCTCTCCTCTTTTCATCTCCATCTTTAATTCTGTGTCTCTCCATTTTTCCTTTGGTTTTGTTAACTCTACACAACATTTATTCTCTTTCTCTTTCTCTTTTTAAAGATTGTTTCTCTCCCCCCCCCCCATTTCTCCTTTCCCCTTATTTCTTTGCTTCCTACCCCTCTCCTCATGTCCTTCTTTCCCTTTGTTTCCCCTGCCTCATGTTTCTTTCTTCCCTCTTTCTTGCTTTGTCTCTTTCTAGCTGAAATTTGTCTCCCCCTCTCACACAAAACCTTCCTTCCACTCCACCTTGCATTCAAATTGGAAGTAACTTCACAATCCCTCAAGAGCCATTACTCCAATCCCTGCTCTGGAATAGCGGAAACAAACTTTGTGCTCCCTTTTGACAGGGGCTTGGGGCCACTAACACATCATAATTGCAGGCCCACTGGCTACCTCCCTGTCCCAAGCCTGCACTCCTCCATTTCCCTCCATGTCAGTTGATGCGGAGCCCTGCACAAGCTTGCAGTATTCCCCTGCATGTCTATTCAGTAGCCACCCACCTGTTGAACAGCAGAGCTATACTGAGTGTCTTCCACAGCCTCTGTGCTGCCTGGAGAATTTCAACCTTCTCCAGGACCGTCCAGAGATTCAGGGGGCCTGGGGCAAAGCAATTTTGGGGGCCCCTTCCTGGCACTCCCTGTCTCAGACCTCAGACTTCAGACAGTCTTGTGGGGCCCCTGTGGGGCCTGGGGCAAATTGCCCCACTTGCTCTCCCCCCCCTCCCCCCCCCCGGCGTGGCCCTGCCCTCCTTGCTCTTTCCTTCCTATTCTACTTTTCTCACCCTCCCAGCCCTTTCTGTCAGGCATTTGGCAAAGCTGCACACCCCCTCACCACTTCCTCTCTGTCTTTCCAACTACCAGCATTCCCTCACCCCACTTTACCTGAAACACGTGTTCTGGCCACCTGAGAGCTTTAAGCACAAGAATGGCTGCTCTAGCAGACTGCCACATCTGTAGGAGCATGAAGGAAAGTCTACCAGAGGGAAGCTGCAGCAGCGCAGGAAGTGAGTTACCACAGGCCAAAGCAGGCTTGGCCAGGAAGATTCCAAAGTTCATCCCCTCAACAGCCAGGCCAGCTGGCTTCCTGAGGGGGCACATGATAAACTCAAGCTGCCTCCTACTCCTATGGCTGAAAAGTCCATGTGAAGGTAGCAGCACCAGCCCAGCCTCTCCTGCTGCTGGGTGAATTCCCTCTGGGATGCAGGGAGGTATAGCTTACTCCTGCAGTTGTTGTCTTCAGTGGACCTGTCCCAGGAAGTCAGAGAGAGTGATGTTCATCCTGTGCCAACGACTAGCACAAAGCCTCTGTACTTATTTTGTGGGGCTTCAATGCTGTGCAGGCCTTAAGCTGCTTCTCTGTGCAGAGCTGAATATACAGGGTATATTTTATTTAGGGCCAAGATTAGCTTCACTGTTCTTTTCTCATCTGTCAGCAGTGATTATTGTTAACCGAATGGAAAGGGAGAAGGGTCTGGGTAGTCAGGACATTAGCCTAAGACTTGGCGATCTGCTCCCAATTCACTGTTCCACGACAAAGTGCTTGTGTGACCCTGGGCAAGTCACTTAGCTTCCCGGGGTTTTAGCGTCCTTTTGGTGAAATATGGGAAAGAGCATTTCCCTTCCTCACAGGCTGCTGTGAGCATCAATTTGTTATAATTGTGATATAATAATGTGGGCTCCAGAAGTACCAAAGACAGAAATTCCTTTCTCTCTGGATCTTGAGCATTTCTCTCTAATGTGGTTTCTCCTCTTTACACCTGGAGAGACTCTGACACTTGTGTGGCTACACATTTTGCTGAAATAAAGTTAATTCATGGCTTATTTTCTCTAGTGATGTTTGCCATGAGCTCCTAGGACATGTGCCTCTGTTTGCTGACCTTAGCTTTGCTCAGTTTTCCCAGGTAAGGGCATGCATCACTCAATCACTGTAACTTAAGATGCTAAAAACGGGATAATTGAGAATACTAATAAAGGGTTATGGAGCTTTTAACTTCTAACTTATTATTTCAAATCCTGTTGAGCCCAGGTGAGTCAGTTTCCCATGTAACAAGTATGTATTATCCATGATGTTCAGCAATCTATGTGAAAAGGTCTAATTTTTTTATGGACAGGTAAACAAAAATATAAATTGTCATTAATTGGCTGCTGCTTTGGCAGATACAACAAAGTTGCTAAGAATTGAATGGGCATAGAAAATGCACTCTCCTGTCTCCTAGGGTATATCTAGACTACAGGCTTTTGTCGACAGAGGCTTTGTCGACAGACACTGTCGACAAAGCTTCTGTTGACAAAGAGCGTCTAGACTACATCCAGTTCTGTTGACAAGGCAAGCCGCTTTGTCGACATGTGAGTGTAGATGCAAAGAAAAGTGTAGATGCAATAACGCCTTCTGGCGACAGAAATCTGTTGACAGAAGGCGTTATTCCTTGTAGAATGAGGTTTACCACCGTCGACAAAACTGCCGAGTTCTTTTGGTGTTATGTCAACAGAACTCAGTAGTAGTGTAGATGCAAGTATAGTTTTGTTGACGAAAGTCCACTTTTGTCGACAAAACCCTGTAGTCTAGACATACCCCTAGAGGCAACCCAATCAATCAGAGTTGAAGCATATTGACCAATTGTTATGCAGAGTATGAAATATAATTTAACATTTTGCTGTACATACATTTAAGTAGGATCTGTTTTATTTTTATTTTTTAAATACTTAGTCTCAGTTTGCACAGAAAACCTTAGTATATGCAAAATATAGATTTTATTTGTGTGTAGTTTTGGTATTTATAATCCATATTCCTTGTAACAGGCTGATAATGTTTGCTAACAGCCTCTAGGTGCTAATGCTGCTCAGAAAGGGTTAAATGACATCTGTTACCCCACCCTTATATACAGGCACTTGAGTGACTTGGGTGGGGAGGAGCTGAGCTGAGGTGAGGTAAGATTGGAATCCTCACAGCTGTCAAACTTGATGGAGAAAATCTGAGCTGAATTTTGTATTGTTAATTTGTAACTTCTCCTTTAATCAAGCCAAGGAAAGGATTGAGTTTTTGGCGATCTTCACTGCAATGTTTGTGCATAAAGATAGCTAAGTCAGTGTAAATCCTAGTTGAAACAAGGCACAGATAGTTTGTACATTTGTGGAGTAAGTGGAAGATAACCCTGTTGCCTGCATACCCTCACATGTGTGCAACCTGCCACACACCTGGGGTTTACCTTGTCTTGCTATATTGAGGCAAAAGTAACTTGGATTTTATATTAAGCTAGCCTTTTTGTTTTTTGCAGTGAGAACACACCCTTTGACTCTGCAGCATGTTTTTAGAGCAAGTTAGCTTACACACCTGATCATATACATTCTTGAACTAGGCTTGTGGGATTTTCCTCCACTTTGGCTATTTTACAGCCATGTGGATGGCACCATGATTCAAACTCACATTCAGCTCCTGGGATAAGAGCAGGTTCTTAAACACTGTGTTGTTACTACCTGGGACCATTTCACCTGAGCAGATGAGGAAGCTCTTTCCATCAGGGCCCACCAGAATAATGATAAATATGTCAAGTATCTTCTTTGGAGTAAACTTTCCATCCCTTTATTGTAAGGCTCTGCTGGTTGGTTGGTATCAGCCTGATGCGAAGCCGATTGATGTCAATGGAAATGGGCTATATGCCTGGTCCAACGGGTCACACCAGGCAAATGACATTTAGACAGAACTCCTCGTTAACTTGCATGGGGACTTCTGGTTCACAGTGGCTGGTGGCGCATTAGGGGAAGGTGCTCTGTGAACACTAGTGTGTGGCAGTGCTAGGTGGCAATTACAAAGTGAACAATGATTTCAGGTCTATTAAAAGTAATGTTTGCACTAAACCACTTGAAGAACAATGATTTATTGTTGCAGGAAATTGGACTTGCATCCCTGGGAGCGCCAGATGAATATGTTGAGAAACTTGCTACGGTAATTTAATGAATTAGGATGGGATTTTGCAACGCGTTCAGGCCCAGATCTTCTAAAGTTATATACACACCTGATCTCCATGGATTTCAGTGAATGAGGTGCCTCAATACTGTTCGAAGATCTGGGATGATGTTCTGGCCTAATTCTGCTTCCATTGAAGTCAGTGGTGTGATTCCCATTGACGTTAGTGGAGGCAGAATTAAGCCAATGATAGGCACATTGGAAAACCGCACCTGCAAACACTTGCCTTAGCAGAGAATGTGAATGCTTATCCTATCAAAGCCTTATTGGCATTAGAATTGTGATTAAATATGAAGGACCAGTGGGACACTTCCTGGTAAGAAGATACTGCAGTTACTTCATTTCTCCAGCAAATAGGTGGGACAAAGCAGCTTTGACAGTTGTTCTACCTGCCAAAGACCATGCTCTTCCCCCCTATTATAAAAATATCTCCCTGTGGTGTCAATGGAAGTTCCTCAGATCCTGCTGTGGGAGAAGAGGGATCC